AGTGGGTGACTGGATGACTCACTGCTTGTTTTGACCTTCTAATGCCTGTGGTTAATTGATTCTTAATGCCGGGGTTCTGCCTGCATTGGTCTGGTCACTGGTTGTAAGGGCCTGTTGTCAGGAGCTCACAGGGTTTGCGAGGCATCATCAGGGAGCTGTGTTGGCTGTACGTACGTTGTTGACTTCTTGCGTAGTGCTGGTCCAGCAATGCCAGAGAAGTCCACTGACAAGCGTAGGGCTTGCTAGCCTGCTGTTGCTCCTTGGAACTGCTCCCGCAAAGTTGTGCTAATACTCACAAGTCCTTTGGAGGTTTCATTTTTACATTTTCCATTTATTCAGTTTACCTCCATCATAAAACCCTGCAAGTTAGAATAAAAGTCACCTATAACGTTATCACAAGGAGCTCTGGTAGCATAATGGTTACGAATCGGGCTGTGAACCACAAAGTCAGCAGTTCAAAACTGCCAGCTGCTCCGTGGGAGAAAGATGAGGCTTTCTACACCCGTAAAGATTTACAGCCTCGGAAACCCTGTGCAGGGTCGCTATGAATTGGAACCGACTCCACGGCACTTAAAAACAACAACAACAACATAACTTTATCACAGAAACATAAGAATTTTTTTTAGTGTTCTATCTTTGTACATGTGTTTTTTTAAATATATAAATTACATGTTTTTTAGAGAGAGACAGATTTTGTCCTGATATTATTTTTACTTACATCTAAGACATTTTTTAGCCTTTGATGCAAGTTAAAACAAAAAAGTACAGTTTTTGTTTTTTTATAATTGTCTAATTAGTTGTCTCAGAATTGGTATAAGAATTGGATAATATTCCATCAAGCTCGTTAAATTACAGAGGAGTTTTAAAAAAATCATGGAAAAATGGAATTAAAAGATTATGGAATTTTTCCACAAACTTTTTGAATTTATTTAGCAATGCCCTTAGCTTGTATGGTGGTGGTATACCAGTGAGTCGATTCCAACTTATAGCAACCCTGCATAGGGTTTCTGAGGCTGTACATCTTTACCAGAGTAAAAAGATTCATCTTTCTCCACAGGAGAGACTGGTAGATTCAAGCCACTGACCTTGTAATTAGCAGCCCTTACCATAATCCACAAGGCTCCTTTTAGCTTGTATAATTCTCTTTAAAATGTCTTTACTTTCTTGACTTTTATTTTTAAAACTCAGTGTTTGCAGGCTACCTTAGAATATCTTAGTGATGACGGTTCATACAGCATATGCAAAATTAGTGTCTGCCTTCAGGAAGTCTCTATTTCAGAACAGGTGGCCAGTAATTAATCGAACGTGATCAGTGCTACAGTAGAATGTTTCCCAATTGGCCCTGGGAGATGGTGGGAGTACATTGGTGAAGACTTCCGGGAGGTGATACTTCAGTTGAGTCCTGAGGAGCTAGCCCAGCTAGGAAATGAAAGAAAAGTCTTCTGGGCAGAGAAGATTACTTAAAGGAATCACAGAGGGAGGACTCATGGGTGAGTGATAGGAGGATATGGGCCTAGACCTTAGGTATGTAGACTGTGGTCAGATTACAAAATCCATGCATCCAGCTGATAAGAAGTGAGGGGAAATGCACAAGAACACCCAAACCTGCAGATAGTACCCATCTGACCTAGCTTCAATGGCTTGATTATCAGAATTCAACTAGAGGAAGAATTAAAATATATATATTTTGTATATTATATGCATAGAGTTTTCAGTGACTAGCGATT